ATTGAAAAAGAAAAGGAGAGATAACTAAAAATGTTTAAATAAATAACAAAAAAATATAAAAGTAAAAATTGAAAAAAAATTTTTTTCTGCTTTTTCTAAAAACCTGTTTTTCAAAAACTCTTTTCAATAAAAAATATCTGATTGGAATATTCTTTCTTCTCCTGATTATTTGAGAAACTTATCTATTCTTGATCTTGATTTCTTTTTTATATACCATTTAAAGAAACTTATCCCCTAGTTGGAACCTTTACTTTCAGGATACACTTAATTTTAACTTTTTTTAAATAATTATTTTTTATACATCTGTAATAGAGAAGTAACTTATAATAGATCCCAGGTTTTTATAAGATCAAGTAGAAATTGAGCTATATTGTTTTAGTATAATACCTTTCAACAGTTATGCCTAGTTAAAAAATTTTTACTAGTATATATCTTCCATTATTCAAAAGATTAAATTTTTCAATAATTCTTTTGTCTTATAATAGTATGAGGGTTTTGAATAGTGACAAAATTCCTTGTCAATTATAATTTTATTCAATAACTTCTAGAGAAATTATTTTTAACTATAATCCAAAGATTGAAGTTTAGAATGAACTAGAGACTATTTGATCTTATTGCCTAATTGGAATAAAAGAAGCCCTTTATTTTGAACTTTGCCTAATCAAGATGATAAAAAAAAAAGACTTCAGTTTAAATAAATAACAGCTTTTTTACTACTTAGAAACTTGTCACTCATATTTTATTGATCTTATAGAACTTGATCTATAGGTTAATTCAATTGAAGAAGTAAATAGAACTGGAATATCAATTAACTCTTTCGATTATCAAAGATATTATCAAAACATATAAGTATAATTAATAGAAGCTTGTTTACATTCTATTACTAATATGTTTCATATCAACCAATCAGATATCAGGTAATATTGTGCTGCCAGAAATTCTAAGTCAGATTGAGATAAATAAAATTCTTTCAAAAATTATAAAAACTAGTGAATACTTTAAGAGGATACAAGACAGTATATAAAAAGGTAAATAATAAGTCTTTCCTGTCAAAAATACCTCTATTTCTTGTTGCTTTCAACTCTGTAAAGTAACACTTCACTTGTAAGTCCTTTTACATCCTAGAATCTTTTTGCCTTTAGTAGAGAAAATATATATTTGAGTCTATTCAAATCACTAAAGATCCATGTTTTTATTTAAAGGAGTTTATAAACAAGTAAGGAAGGGTAATAGAGATATGTAAAGACAAGTTTCAAGTTATTTTAATGAAAGTATAAAGACTTTATTAGCAAAGAAGTATAAAACTTCTTGTGAACATCTTTTTTGTGTGTGATCAGAGGATCAGTGAAAAGAGTTTCAGATATTTTTATATGGTTTTTTAATACTATTTCTTTGAAATAAAAATTTAAATTAGCATATATAAATTAAAGAATAAATTTCTCAGTTTAAATAGTTTAATTTTTTAAAAAATACAAAAATATTTGACAAAAATTTTTTAGAAAAATATATAGTAAACAGTACAGGTTTTAAATATTATTACTATTAAATAAAAAAATTTTTTAAAAATAAAATTATTATTACAACATAATGAAGAAGAAAAGATGACCAACTATACAGTATCTCTATTTAATAAAAATATTACTAATAAAGTTGAAAATAGAATCCACCAACATAGGTCTTAGTGTTAGCCGATTAATTTCAATAACACCACCAATCCTCGCTACTCAGGGTTCTCATCCAAATCCATCCCCAGGTTCCTTCGAATATGTTCATCTTTGACTTCGAATGTTCGCTCCTTTGGCGTCCATACCATTTCTAACTTTCCGTCTTTCACAAAACTGTACTGTTCCTTGACGAACTCTGTAATATCTTCAATGCTCAAAATCCATTCATTTGAATACCTCTTCACTAACGTTTCGCCACTTATACCAAGTTGAATGGCTTTGCGTGCAAGCTTTCTCCCTTGGAGGTCGTGATCAGGATCCCATTGGAGTCGGAGGCTGGAGGTTTGGAGCGCGGCTTTCCAGTCTCTTTCTTCTTTATAGGAGGAAGCTCTGAAAGAGGAAGGAACACACCCTGAAAGGATGCTGGCAAAGCCCTCTAGAGACATCTCTATGGCCAAGATCTAGGAAAGAAGAAATTTGAGGAAAGTGATGTGAACGCCAGATTATAAATATTTCATTTACCCTTTCTTGGTTCTTTTTAGTAGCCCATCCAGATCTGTACATCATCCAAGCAAAATTTGGTTTTATCCAAGTCATTCTCTATTATCAAATAGTAGCTAATTTAATATCAAGAGAATCATTTTAGAAGAGGAACCATTATTATTACCGTCCTTCGAACGGGTTAAAATGTTTACATTGGTGAAATATGATTTGCATGTAAGTCTCTCGCCAAACAATATAGGGTAATATCATAAAACCATATATTAAATATTACCAAGAATAGTTATCTCCGCCAAACTTTTGATACTTTACAGCATAATCCGCAATGGAATCGTTAAAGGCCTGATAAACCACAATCGAGTCATCATCGTATTGCGCCATGATGTGCTTTCCAGAGGAAGGCCATATTTGAGCTTGCAAATTATAGAGTTCAATTTCTAAAGTTGTCATTTTATTAGTTTCGGGTGAAATGGGTAAAACAACAAACGAGATTTTATTTTGGACAATATGCACAGCAGATCACATTACTATTCAGCTCTACACGATAATAGTTTATGGAAATTCCGAATTCCACTGTTAGAGTAACGTTCCGCAGAACCCAAATGAAACGATTGGTGTTACATTTTAACCATACTCCGAAATTTAAGTACAATATACTATATGGTCGCCAAAATTTATATTATTCCAATGATATAGGAATTATCAGGAGGCAAGTAAAACATAAAAGCGTCGATTTCTACTGGGTTACCGTAAAATTCTTGGAGTCAGAATGTCAACTCATATCTTTAAATTTTAGTTTATCCAATGGACTTCCACAGAACAATTGTTTTGTTGAAAACTTTGCGCACGTGAAATATGATACAGAATTTTAAACAATGAATTCTACAGATAAAAATATATAATTACTAATATATGAAATATCGATGCATGATGGTAATCTACTTTGGTTCATTTGGATCATCGACAGTCCCATTATTACTTGGGGAAATTTCGTCGATTGATCCTTCGTTAACTTTAACTTGTACTGAATTGTCATCGAATCCTGACTGGTTACAACTCTCGCTCAAATGTTCAAAACTGTTACAGTATCGACAACCGTTATTGCATTCTTGACTAATGTGTCCCTGATCTCCGCAATTTCCACAACGTAAATTGTTGGTTGAACGGTTGCTATTTCGATTTGCACTATTGCTACGCCATGGATTCGTGTATTTACTCGATCCAATAGATGAACTCCCAGGATGGAGAGTTGTCGGGAAAATAATGGGGCCATATGGTAATTGTGTGTTCGGACTCCCAGGTGAAGAATTATTTATTTGATTGATCGACTCCGAAATGCTACTTGTTTGATTCTGACTTTCCAATTGGCTTATCCGCAACTCCAACTTCTGGATGTATCTCATTTTTTCTTCCATTTCTTGTTGTTTGCGTGTCTCCAGCATTTGAATGGTTTGGAGTTCACGATCACGCGTCATCTCAATTAACTTTGCGTATCGCATATTCATAGATTGCAGTTCGTGCTGTAGTGAGATTAGTGAAGAAATTAGTTGAGATTTCTCGTTTGAAAGGTTTTGAATAATTGAAATTAAGTCCGAACGATTTAGATCATCGAGGTTGAAAGTGTTATATTGTGAATTTGCGGTAGGATGCCGTTGAAGATCCATAGGATTTTGACTGAAACCTGGAGGAACGGACGGCTGACTTGTGGCAGCCAGATTACAAGGAGTATCGTCTTTGTTGATATTGTTATTTGTGATTTTCGAATCATTCAAACCTTCACCCAAAGCGTTATTGCCGCAAAGTGACAGCGTGTTCTCATAATCAAAGAAACTATTTTCTGCTATCATGCTCTCTAATAGTTTTCGTTGCTCCTTTCTGGATTCGGATGCAGTTGACGTGAATCCTTCGGTCAAAGATTCCGATGACTTTTCTACACTTGTTTGATTTTCGCCA